TGTCCAAAGAGAAGATCAAAAAGGAGATAGAAGGTTCGTCTCCTGAGATGAGAAAGAATTCGGAGACGGCCAAGGACGCCGCGCCCGCCGAGCCAGTGACTCCTCGGGAAGCGCGAGAAGCGGGCGCCCCTTCGACGCCGAAGGAAGCGATACCCACGGTGAACGTCGTGCCCATCCTGCCGGAGGAGAGCGAGGGCCCCGAGGAAGCGGAGGTGGCGGTCACCCTGCGCTCCGGCTTCCAGGCGAGCGGCGAGTCGCGGGGCAGTACCTACAGCCGCTCCTCCAACGCCTCCAGAGAGCAGGATCCGCCGCCGACGGTGCCAGAGAAGACCAGAATCCGAGAGAAGTCCCCCGTGCACGACATCCCGCGCTCCAACAGGCCCGTGCCCGCGGCGCCCTCGACCCCGAAGGAGGAGCCCAGGGCCGTGGAGGGCAAGGTCGTGGACGGCAACATTTCCCTGGAGCAGATCAACGCGATCCTCAGCGCCAAGGAGAGCAAGAAGCGCCAGTCCCGCGAGCGAGAGGGCTCCGTGGAGGGCGACGCGGCCAAGGGCCTGAGCGCCCGCAGGCCCTCCTCCATCTCCACCACGAGCGTCGAGAGTGACGATCCTCTCCCCAAGACCAACTTTATTGACTGTGATATTTCCTCCTCGAGCTCGGGGAGTCTCAAGGACCAGGTGAGGAGCCGCGACTCAGTGGGCTCCGGCGACCATGTGCGCCTGTCAGTCGACCTCGAGTCGGCGGCCGACGCGGAGGCGTCCGTCACTCTCCGCAAACCGAAGCTGACGGACAGCCTCACAGCCGGGCCGAGGGTGAGCCTCACGCAGCCCGAATTCACGGTCGTCGAGGAGGACGCGGCCGCCGCTTCCCCAGAGACGGAGCGCCAGACTCGGGGCGCCTCTCCGGACGACCGGCGAAGCGAAAGCGACGTCGACGACGACGGCGACGACGAAGACGAGGAGGCGGAGCAGAGCGACTACTTCCCCGGTGTCGGCGCGGAGGTGCGGCCGCCCTCGCCGACTAGCCTGAAGCTGCCCGACTCGCCGACGCTGAACATCACCCGCCTCAAGGCCTTCTTGGGAGAGATGGAGAAGGAGGACGCCAATCCGCCCAGCTTGAGGACGGGCATCAGCCGCCTGGGCCACAGCGCCGCCGTCGAGAAACTCAAGGAGGAAATCACCGAGGAGCCGCGAGACTGAGGACGAGCGTGGCTGAAGGTTTATTAATATTTCACAAGCGAGAACATCCGCGTCCAAGGGGCTTCTCGGACCAACTGCCCGGAGAAGCGCTCAATAAATATCTTGTTAATCCAAATTCTCATCTCTAACACAAACATCGATATCTTCATTAATTCACTCTAATCTCAAACTTGATGTGCATCAAAGTGAACATAATGCTAATGTTTACAAATGGAAGTTTAAACCCACAAAACATTTAGCAAACGCATTTTCGGGCAATTGGTCTGAGAACACTGAACACGCAGGCCTTGATATAACACGTGATCGCAGAGTGAAGGAAAGTCCTTCGTTCTCTTATTCTCTTGTCCGTTTGTTCTCCTGTTCTCCTGTTCTCCTGTTCTCCTATTCTCGTGTTCTCCTGTTCTCCTGCTCTCCTATTCTCCTGTTCTCTTATTCTCTTTTTCGCTTATCCTCCTGTTCTCTTGTTCTCTTGTTCTCTTGTTCACGGTTTCCTTCGGAAGGCAAAAATGGCGGAAGGTAACGAAGATGTCGACGGTTTTCTTCAAGGTATTGTTTTTGATTGCTTTATGATGGAGGTGGCCGATAAGAGGCCAATGCGTTCACTTAATTTCGTCATTGTAAAAAGAAACTATTTTCTATTTCCTTATTTATGTTTGTTTGTCTATCTATCTCTTATTTATCGGTCTGTATGTCTCTGTCTCTTTGTCTGTCTGTCCTCTCTCTCTAACTCTCTCTCTCTCTCTCTCTCTCTCTCTCTCTCTCTCTCTCTCTCTCTCTCTCTCTCTCTCTCTCTCTCTCTCTCTCTCTCTCTCTCTCTCTCTCTCGTCTTCTGTGTGTCTGTCATATCCTCTTGTTTTTTGTAAATTTGATTTATTTAATAAACAATCGGTGCTTAAATTCTTCCATGATCACAATTTTCGTGCCAAATTCAGATTTAATTGTATAGTCGTTTTTTTTCATTTATGTAGCTGTATTTATATCTATAAGTCCTATGAATCTCTCTAAAAACAAATGACAATCGCCTGAATGGAGATTTAGATTCCGTATTTTCTGTAGCTCTCTAATGTACTTGCTCATGATGATGATGTGTATACTGTATATTTAACAAAACAATTACCAATGAATTGTGATACTGATTTTTTTTTTCTCCTTATTTATGGTTTTGAACATATAGGCTTTGGAAATTATCAATTATATTTTACCAATACGACCTTCAGCTCACGAAGTATAAGTATTTTGGTGAAGGTAAATAGATCCTTTATAACTTCAACCCAAGTGCTATATGTGACCTTTGATGTCTA